ATGCATAAAGTATATTAAATATTCAGACTATCAAATGACTCAGGCAAACTACTTTATGATCATTAATTCCAGTAGTATGTCTCTCCTGCAAATAGTCAGTCAATGGCAATTTTTTTGTCTTGAGAACTTTAGAAAAATATTGGACTTTTATCTATAAAACACTTAAATACTTTTGACCAAGGATTTGGTTTATCATTCTGTTAGCTCATTTCATTGTGCTTCATGTAATATGCAAGCCGGAATAGCAAATGACTGGTAGACAATCTACTTTAAACCTTGCCTTATAGCGCGTCACCCTTTCAAAACAAACTCTGTTCTTTTGTATTTAATTATTCCATTATTAAAATTAAGATTTTGGAACTGAAATATGTGTCTTTGAAATTAAAAAAATGTTACATTATAAAACCAAAAGTGGTAACTTCAGAAATTTAGAACATATTTCCAAGGGGGAAAAATTTGATAAAAGAACCAGTAAAGTCATGTTACAATGGCAGGAAAGCATTCCACGTTGACTACTTTTTCCATCTAAATACCTCCTATCTACCAGGCAAGTAGGTTTTTTTTCCTGCCCCCAAAAGTAAATACTATAACAATACTACAGCAGTTCCCATGTTTTTGGTGGTTCCTTTACTGATACATGCACATCTCCACCTTGTAAATAATGAAGTTTTTACTTACTGAAGATGAGTGAGCCAGATTCTCAGCAGATTTATACTGATATAGCTGCACTGACTTTGTAGAACTTTGCAACTGCATTAGCTGATCTGGCTTGCCTAAGCATCACAAGTTACGAGCCTATTGAAAACCTACTTGCCTTCCTTTTCTGCTGTCTCTAGTGCCAGTTCAGTAGTAATGAATGTAGTGGACTTAAACAAAAGGTTACATTTGTTAAATCATAAAAGCACTACATTTAAAACACGGAAGCCAGGACAGACCTCTAAAGGCCACAACACTCTATACAGACTGATCTATCATCCTCTAAATCACTCTTAGCCAAATCCATTTTTAGCATTTAAGCCTATTATCATAGTATAAAATTTGATACCACAAATGTATTTAAATATCAGAAAATCCCTAAGTAATTATTTGAGGAATTCTGTCAACCAAGTCATTAGCTAAACAGAACTAAATGGCTTAGGTAAATGCTACCCTCATTTAAGGAGTAGGAGTATTTTAGGTTCATGTAAACATTCACAAAGGACTATAAAATGCCAGTATAAATCATTTGCAAAAAGTAATACCAAAAAGCTAGTTTTTGAAGGCAAATGACATTTTGCCTTGTCATTAAGTCATTTTATATCAGATTTTAAGGGTGGGAAATACTTCCAGCAGATTTGTCCAACAAAATCTAAATTTGCTATTGGTTAGCCACAAATTCATTTTTTTAAAATGGTAAGTCCTTAAATATTGAGAAGTAAATGTTATGGTAAAGCAAGAGTTACTTGTTAGATAAAACTAGACATGAATGAGATTTAAAAGCAGTTTTTTTGCATTTGCAAAATCTGTCTATATTTCTACTAGTTTGAGATCCCAGACCCAAAACGTGCAGTAAAATTTACTGGTAACTTACACTATTTAAGGCTCTGAATGCTTGAATGTAAGAAGGACAACCCAAGTTTTAGAGTACAAAAAGTAAATGTCATTTTTTAAAAATTAATTTTTTGAAAAGTTTTACATTTGCCTTTTTACTATTCATTTGAAATGGTATGAAAATCCCATTGTAATTTAAATTTTCTGGATGTTTTAAACAGGGGGAGTCAACCAGTGGCATGGGCAGCCTGCACGTGTGGCATGTGGCAGATCAGGGAAGGGACAGGCAGCATAGCAACAGGTGGGGCAGGAAGTAGAAGCTAGAGCAGATCAGGCAAGGAGCCCAGGACAGGAAGCAGAAAACAGGAGATTTGGGCAGGGAGCATACAGTAAGAAGCAGAAAGCAGAGAAGAAGATCAGAGGAAGGAGATCAGAGTGGCACTCAAAGGATGCAAAGCTAATTTGTGGCACGCCTGCCAGAACAGTAGGCCCCCACTATTTTGGAACTTCCAAAATGGTTTTAGACTTTGTGAACTGGGTCTCATATTTCTCCACACTTACCCCTAAAGGGATAGATTGCTAATGACTTAATAGCATGTGCTGTGTCTCTGACACTGAGCATAATGTAAACCTATCTATGAGAGGACAAATCCAAACACGTTTGTTAATGTCTAGTTAAAGTGACAGCAATTTAAAGTGGTGAACTATACAAAGAACTCTAATCTGGCCAAAGCCAGACCCTTTATCCTAGACGGTCAAGTTTTCCAGTAAACTTTTTGTTTGCTGGTCTTTTTCATACCAAGAACACAGTACAATTTTAGAGAAACAATACCTTTACTACAAAACCACATAAACGATTATATACAAAATGGTTACTGGATTTTTTTTGGTTTTGTACTGCAGTGACAGAAATAACTAGCTGCTGACATTTATTTACGTTTTCTTAATATTAGGTACATCACACCACTGATCAGAGTAAAAGCAAATGCAATCCAGGCTAAGATGAAGGAATACCCATATTGGCCACTAGCAGCATTAAACTGAAAATATTCATCAGCCTTGTGCAGGTCTTCATGCCTATCTGTATAAATGGAAGCTGCAATCATTACACAGAGGCCTGAAAGAGACAAAAAGTATTAAAACTCAGCATCTTAAAAAGCAATTATATATAGCAGTGACAAGCAGTTGGAGTGTGCATTCTGTTTCTCTTCACAGCATCTGCTTTTCTTAGAAAATTACTTTTCATACTCCAATTATATTGAAAGTATTTCATAGAACTCAGTTCAGTTTAAATGAGGCTTAAATAAAGTCAAGCAGCTTCTAAAATACTATCAGGGTACCAATGTTGACTGGAAGTAACCTTTGGGCATCCAGACAGTTTTAAGCTTTTATGTGGTAAAAGTTCAAGATGCATCTGCCTATTAAGTTCAAAAAGCTGTTAAAGTCTGTTCTTAAATTGGTACTTTCAAAACGTTTATTATCCGGGTTTTTCCTTTAAATGTTTAATTTTAATAAAACAGTAAATTAAAAAATAGATAATTTCATCCAGGATGAATGAATTTCATAATTTCAAACAGGATGCTTTTCAACACTGACAAGTGCAGGGAGCTGCACTTGGGCAGTAGAAACCAGCAGCGCACTTATAGAATGGGAAACTCCCTTCTTGAGAGCACGGAGGCAGAAAGGGATCTTGGAGTCATTACTGACTCCAAGATGAACATGGGCCAACAATGCGAGGTCACAGTTGGCAGGGCTAACCGGACCTTGTCGTGCATCCACAGGTGCATCTCAAGTAGACCCAGGGAGGTGATCCTCCCCCTCTATGCAGCACTGGTCAGGCTGCAGCTGGAGTACTGCGTCCAGTTCTGTGCGCCCCATTTCAGGAGGGATGT